TTAAATATTAGAAACGTATCTATCATAACAAAAACGATTATAATAACCAGAATTTACTTAGTTTGTGTTTACAGTGCACAAAGAAAAACAAATCACCCTGAATAACTTTTGATCTAATGATCGGATTTTCACACACTAGGACTCAATTTTAATGGTTTAACAGGGTGATCTCAAATAATACTAATTAATTAGTGCAGAACCTAGGTATTTAGTATCCTCATCTCATATTAGTTTGTGTACGTATTTTGAGTACATGTGCGTACTTTTTAGTACGTTTACTCTCGGAGCGCTTGGACCAGGGAAAGTGCTTTCTATATCCGCCGGCTCTGAAAAGTTTGAAGAAGCAATTAAAGAAGAATGATCGAATATAGAAAATAACGGCTTGTTGCGGTTTTGCGTCGGGAGCAAAAGGATTTTTTTCACCCCAAGTTTTAAAATTGAATCCGAAGTTCGTAGTATAATAGATGACGCAGCAAGCTGAAAAAACTACAAAAAATAATGCTTTTAGCAAAACCACCATCTGCAGAAACAATGAGGGGAAACGAGGATAAAATTAATAGATACCTACTCAAATATTTCCTGGTGAAAACTTTATAACTAACTTTAAAATTTGATCAAAACAAATTAGGAAAAAAACCTGGTTTCCAAACCAAAAAGCAGCAAAACATGCATTTCTATCTCCCTCTTGAGTTTTCTAATTGTTGCACATTTTTAGTACATCCAGTATATTCGGTTTAGTAAACTACTGCTCATAGCAAGTGTCCATGTCAAAAAAAAATTAATTTATCATTCGACAAAATCTGCAAGAAATTTTTTATCTTGTGAAATCTTAGCAGATTTTTTTAGTAAAAACTTCGGAAGTCTTACAAATAAAAAACCTAATTCAAAAAGTTATAAATTTTTTCAGATGCGTACTATTGAAACGTGGTTTTACTTTTGCCTTTAAGTATATGTTTCACTTTATTAGCACCCCATTCGTGTAATGTTTAAACAATTATCGTAAAAATTTTACAAAGGTCTTTTTAAAACGTAACCTTTAAGCGCTCTTTTAAACCTTTAATTTTTTAAAATTATGTTTTGCTTAACGGTAACACACACGTTTTTCCTCGCTAAGTCTCTCTAAAAAAAAAAAAAAAAAAAATGCATGTAAGTTAAACAACTTGACTTTGACAGAACAAATTTGTACAGAAGATCAGAGAATTTTAACAAAGTATATACTGTGAAGGAGAAAAAGTGAACACTTCGAATAACTTTTGATGTAATGATCGGATTTTCACGCACTAAGATTCAATCTCAATGGTTACGGTCCCTAACATTCAATATACTGATTAATTAGTAGAGACGACATTTTAAGTAACCCAATCCAGCACAAACACGTACTTTCTCTGAATACGACTTTATTTTAACAGATTTGGATTTCTTATCCTTATGGCAATCTGAGAAACATGGTCCCAATTGTTCGGATAGGAGAGCGTTTGAAAGTTTAGGTCCCTTAATTTTGTTGTTGTTTCTAATGCGACTTGCCACACGGGCAAGCCTCCTTGGTGAAAACCGAGCAAATTTAAGGCAGACTGTGCGCTTTTCGTTTTTCAGTGGCGCCATCTATGTCCAAGAATTCAACTTCTGCCACACCATACGTGCACCCGTTTATAGGGCGACCCCATTCATACATCCATTCGTTCATCCACAGATCGTAATTTTAATTTTACTGTAATTTTACTTTATGCGTATTTCGCCATATCCCGATAACTACTTTTTAAGGTACTATTGAAAAATACGATACTGTTAAAAAGTAAAGTAAAACAATCGCAAGCTCATCCATACGAAGTCCGTGCATCAAGGAACGCGATTGGTTTTCTTTATTGTACTAAAGTGGCACAATACTTATCTACATAACATATCGCATGCGTAGAATGAAAAGACGTGCGTAGTATGAAAATTAATACTTACGTGAACATGCCAAATAAAACAAAACACCGAATTCGGTATCATTTTGTTTAAGTGTCCCATTGATGGCAACCTGCATACATCTTCCATGTATGTTTAAAAAAACACTCCTTAGAAAAATATTTTACGATACTAGTACAGCTCTATATTTAGTGATCGAACATTTACAGTGGTTGTTTTTGCAATAAGTCGCTACTTTTTTCACTGACTTTTGTCATTTTCAAAACTTTACTACTGAATTGATTTTTGAAAATTTAATACAGACTACAAAAAATAATTATGCAAATAAATAAACTGATTGGGCTAAACAAGTACAAAACTATACTAAAACTAAGCACATACATATTCTAGGAAGAATACATACACAAAAGAATACATAATACACAATTCTAGAGAATCATAAGTACTAATTATTTAAAACAAATAATAAATCATAACACTCTAAAAATATAAAGGTATGCATATGCAGAAATTTAAAGACTATGCTGAATTAATTATATGACACAAATAGAACAACAAAAATCTAGTAAAAGTAAACACATATATAGTATAGAATATTAAGTAAGTAAAAATAATAACTATTCGAAATAAGTATTAAACTATATACCAGAAATACATATAATTGTACATAATTTTGAGCAATTAAATCATCAGTAAATGGAATTTTATAAATAATGTTAGTAAAATCATCCTCTCAATTGATCTCATATTCATCTAAATTAATTGAACGAATATTGTACTTTACACACTGTAAAAAATTTCGGGTAAAATTAAGGTAAAAAAAACTGGCACTCTGAGTGCTATTACTTTTTACTGTAAAATATTACGCAAAAAAATTTGAGATATCTTAATTTTTACAGTAATTTTTGCTGTAAAGTTACTAAATCATTTAAATAAAAAAATATTACTGTAAAAATTAAGGAATAAAATTCTGCGTCAAAATGGATTTTACGGTTGCTGCACTCAGGGTGCCAGTACTTTTTACCGTAATTTATTCCAGGAATTTTTTACAGTGTAGCGCGAAACTACGTACATTTTTTAAGAACTTAAAAAATTTATTCTAACAACTATTTAAATTATTATTAATATATTACGAATATTTTATCATTTATCACCGCTTTTAAGTCCTTTCTTTAATTTTTGTTTTTAATTTCCTACTTTTAACAATCGTAAATAAGGAATTTTTTGTTGATTATGAATACATTAAAAATTTGTTTGAAATCTATATTGAAATCAAACGTACTATTTATTAACTTCATTCAACAAAATTAATAACGTAAAGGTGAAGAAACGTTTATTAATAACGCTTAAGACAAAATCTTATAAGTTCTATTTCTATACATTTAAGTTTTCTACATCTACTTTGTAAAAAATAAAAGGATAAAAACTTAAAAACGAAACAAGTTAGTTTTTATACAAAAATAAGAATGATAGCAAAGTGTGATACAAAACTATTAAAGTCTCATTAATCTTATTTGTGAAGCACGTGAAGCAGAATCAAAGAACAAAAAATTATAAACATATTTAAATATGTACATAACAAACGTCCTTTTCGATAGGAAAATAATATAAATATATATGTACAAAACAAGTTCAAAAATGCCTCAAAATTACAAGTTAATGTATGTTTACAATCTTACAGCTAGATATAATCACATTTCAGTTATTTTAAGTACAATAAAGGAGAATAAACATTTACAGTTTAAATGCAATTGAAAGGAGTAGGAAAAAAACGAATCCTATTTCATTGTTTATATCATTTATTACTATAAAAAGCAATGAGTTGCAATGAGCAAAGCAATAAAGCCTTTACAATGAAACATACATATGTTGATTAACAAATTTATATAAAGCTCTCCCATATTAGTGCGATCAAAAATTAATTTAAATATACGTATATTTCCTACATTTTGAGTATATTTACACTGTTACGCCACGTCATGTGCAAAACTTTTCTTTCCAGCACTACTCCGAATATGGCAGAAAAGAAACATTTACAAATCAAAGTGAACGGAAAGAAAGAAGCTTCATAAAATTTTATATGAAAAGCCATTAACTTTACTTTTTATCATAACAAATATAGCACGCAAAAAACTTCCATAAAAATTAACTTGAAAATTAGTACACCACATTTTTTTAAAATTTGTTGTTAAAAAAGTGTTTATAACTAGTTTTTTTCCAGCAACAATTCGAATAGAACGGAAAAGGAAACATTTTAAATACAAATGCAATGAAAGAGGAACAAAAGAGGAGAAACCTTATTTCACTGTTTCTGTGATCGATAATGAACTTTAAGAAAACATTGCTTTTTGAAGATATAAAATAACAAAACATATAAGAATAAGAATGAAAAAAATATTTGTTTATTTATTGAAACGTCGTAACAAGTTTCGGATCAATTTCAGTAAATTAATTTAAATTCATTTTAGTTCTTAAAAACCAAAAAAAAAATCGTTTACATGGATAAGAAAAAGTAATCGTTTGAGTTGAAAAACAAATCGTTTGAATTATTAACAAAACTTTTTGCAATGATTTCTTCTTTTTGAAACTGAAAACGGAAGGCAATATTTTTTTTCTAAAACTGATAAACATGATTATTTCCTGCAACCTAAGGCAAGCATTAAAATTTAATTAATAACTTACCATTTTTTTATACAAAAACAAACAATTATAATGAAAACAAACAACATTCGAATGAAATTCTCTTTGAAAAATATCTGAAAATAATACCTTTGTGAAAAATTAAATTCTCAAGTCGTAAAAAAAAGTAAAATTGAAAATTTACATATCTTTTATCTTATGATAACAAAGAATTTTAAACGTTGAGAAACGACTTAAATATTTATTCTATATTCTTACCATTTTAATAGAAAATGTTTCTTTAATCAAACTTAATTTTTATGCCTTTTTTAAGCATTTTTTAAATATAACTGCACTGAAAGATGAGTTTAAAACGAAGACCACTATGCCTGAAGGAAAAATTATCGACTAATTTTCAGTCTCATCAAATAACCTCCAAGATATAACAAATAAGAATGTAAAAAAAATCTTACCGTTATCAAAATTATATAATCCACGCTCTACTAAATTCCTAATGAGCACACTAAAGATTGAGACGCCGTCAAACCCTGAGGGCTTGTTTGTTTTATACACCCCCGTTTAAATATCACCCCAACAGTCTTTGTAGTAACGAACGTGCGTCAAGCGACAACGAACACCACTTCGTTTATAAAAGCCGGGATCATCGCGTTCGATCTCCAGCAGGGGGCAGCACAAGTACGATTCTTTGACTTGGAGCCTCAGGGGAAAAAGCTGCTGATCCCCCATCTCGCGTTTGCGCAGAGATCAAAACCGCCTGTTAGGTGGTACTTTAATGACGAAGTGATGGAATAGGTAAGATATGACGTCACTCGCAGACGAGAGGATAATTTAAATGAAACCAACGAGTACGGTTCGAGTTAATTAGAATCAGAGTTTTAACAAATGAGGGAAGACAAATCAGACAATGCTTGTCGATTATTACACGGAATGGGTGTTTTCTGTAACATTTTAGAGTTCGTTGGTTTCTTGGCGAATATGCTCATCAAATAATTTTATGACAGCTCAGTCAGTCTTTTTGTTTAAGCAAACTTTTCAGAATGCAACAATGCACAATAATGAATTGTTTGAAACAATGCCACTCCCAAAATGTGTATCATTAATTATTATTCTTTTTTATTATAATTATAATTGTATCAGTTTGATAAACTTGAATTTCATAAAAAAGCAATCTATTTATTCTGAAAATCAGTTTCCAGACCTCCCTTTCCAAATTATAAGCTATAGATAATTTTTATGCTAAACAGTATATTTTTATTGTATTATTTAATTCAAGAATAAATCCTATAAACTGAAAATTAGAATGCTATTTCAAAACTGCTTGATTTATTGCATACATTTCAGAAAGCATTCTATTTTTCTATTCAATTTTTCGAATATAATTATATTTTTTTAACAACAAGAACATCAAGAGGCATTTTTTAACAAAATTAGCAAGAATGGTGTCCGCACATTTAAATTATTTAACCTTTAATGATCATACTAAGTTTATGTATTATTTTATCCTAATTGAAATCAGTTTAAAAAATAATAATAATAGTAATTCTCTTTTAAGACTGAAAAAGCTAAAACACCTGAATATTTGTAAAATATTATTTAGATTTAAACAATGTAAAAAATGTAAGCTTATCTCAACACCAAAAATTGTGAGAACTACTTTACACAAAAGTAATGTAGTAAAACACCAATAATATTCCTTTACATTATTTGGTGTTAGGTAGCCGCCACCATTTTTGTTATTTATTGATACGCATATGAGTCAATGAAGTTATTGAAGTAAGATTCATTAATTTAGGCTGCATATTTGCAAAAGTTTTCTAAATAAAATTGCTTTATTAATCAAACATACCGACAGCGCAAAGAGAAAAACAATGTGAATTGAAACTGAAACAAAACCGAAAAGGATAGAAATTAAACATTAAAAATTATTAATACAAGTGACGAATCCATACTAATCTTCTTAAGAGAACGTGATTATCTTTATTATGTAACTAAAACATAAATACCTCTTATAATAGCTTACTTCTGTTTCTGTGGAATGCGAGAAAAAATTTCATCTTCTCGTGCTCAATTTGCAAACAATGTGGCGTTGTAGTCTGAAGGTTTCCAAACATGCGCTAAAATTATCAAAAACAATTTATGAATGGAGTCTGATGATCTGAGCTAGATGTAAGCTATTCTATAATTGTCATTTAGGTTTAACTTCACCCTTTAAAGTGGGTATAAACACTGTATTCGATATTAACTTGAAATAAAGTAATCATTTTCCCAGTTTTCGGAGCTTTCCATCACCAAATTCAGATACGTATTACACAACAATATTCACAGTGTATATCTTCTCAAAGTATATCGATTTAACTAAACATTATTCTTCAGTGTATGTCAAGTCAGTTTGCTTCTTTGCTGCTGGGGCTTATAACTGATATACGATGGAAACAGTAAAAAATCTATGACAGCAGAAAGCTGTAAATAAATTTTTAAGTAAGAAATTGAAACTAAGCTTAACTTAGTTCAGATGCCGCTAAAAGTAGTAGTTGATGAGAAAGTAGTAGTACTTTATCACGCAGGGTAAATTAGGATAAATTTCAGTGTAGTAAGTACCGGGCAAGTATATGCCCGGACCCTTAATAATAATAATAAAATGTACAAAAAAGTAGTAAGTGAACGCTTGATCCGTTAGTAAATGGACCACGCGTCGTCGGGTTAACCATGAGACTAGCTTTTCCAGTACACATTACTCAAATGTGAGTCAACTCCTTCAAAAAGTTCTCCGTTAAGGTCAGTTTATCTTAATGCTTGAACCAGGAGTTTCCTTCTCTTCTGGGTTGAGATCAAAACTACAGGACTAAGGAGTTAAGCATTGATAGCCGAAACCAGAAAATGAGCCTGCTCTTCAACGCCGGTTATAAAATAAAATAACATGGCTTAGAGAACATGGTTAACATGGTTTCATCTATCGTGATACACAGAGACGCAATGGAAGAACCCATGTATCTCTCATTCACAGAATCGCCAGTTTAAACTTGGCAGTCAATTTAGTTTTTCGGTAAAAACGTTTTTGCGTAGTTTTTTATCTTTGTTGTATCTTTTTTTCTCGGGTTTTTCATGCTTCTTTTTAAATGTTTTTAAATGTATGTTTATGCATTACATATATTTTCTTGTTGTGTTTCATCTTTTTCTTATAATAGTGATTATTTTTATGAATGATAATGAGAAATATCTATACATTTCGTGATGAATATATAATGCATAGTAATGCATAGTAATTCATGACTTTCAAAATTTTTTTGCTGGAACATTTGTAACCATTACCTGTTTAAAATCAATACACAAACACATTTGAATACACAGTATTTTTTTAACAGAATTTTTTAAAATTATCTTGGAGACCTTCAAGTATTCGAATGGTTTAAAATCGTATCTAATCATTATGTGGCTGAAAGCTGTTCTAATTAAAACTGGTAAAACACATACACAAAAATAATTTTAACAATTCCCTTTTAAGGATTCCCTAACAATTTTTTTCCCTTTTAACAAGTCTCTGAGAAAAAAGTATAGTCAAAATTATCAGACTATGTTAAAACTTCTAGTGTTTCTGACTCTAGGGAAGCACCAAAAAGTTCGGTATTTTAATGATAAAATGGGTTTTCTGACAAGTCATAAAACTTAGTAAAATTTGGCAATTTTATCATAGTTTTATAATATGGGATAAAATTTGGTAATTTTATCATGATACCTTAGAACAAGTATGAAAACCATTTATACAACAACGTTACAACGAAACGAAAACAATACATACGTTTTGTATTCGTTTTGTATTGTTTTACTAAAAGTGTGGTAATAAGAACTATAATTTCAAGACCAGAATTTCCACTTTGTCGTTATTATATGAATAGATAAATTACCAAATGTATAATATAAATAATGAATATTTTGGTTTTATTAACCTGAATTATGTTGTCATTTTCTTACCAGAAATGTCATTATCATACAGTACGGTAATTTTACAAGAATTTTTTTCTCTGGAGAGCAAAATGGATAAAGCTATCTCAAATGACAGTATTTTTAATTTTTTTTTGTAACATTTGTGATAAAACTCCCTCATTGAGATGCTGCTCTTTAAAGTTCAGCTCCCACTTCATTTTTCTTCTAAAATGCTTCACTAATTCGTTGATCTAAAATATCAAATTGTAAAAACTTATCAGAATTTGGTGCTGAAAAACTCTCAAAATTGTGTGAATGATTCCTTTTTTTAAAATTACACACTTCAAAGGGTGTAGTTAAGTAATAGCACTAATAATAAAGCTTACACCAATTTGCAGTTCAGTACTGAAGAAGGTGGTGGTTTTCGGAGCTCCGAAAGGTTTGAGAATAACTAGTGTATATTTAAAAAATTTTTAACTAAACTCTTGTGTGAAATGATGGTAGAGTAGAATTCTAAGCGTAACAGAGGGGAAATCACACAGGCATTTATCCTAAAAAATGTATTAAATACATGTGAAAACAAAAAATTGTGCAATAATATGCTACTTTAAGGTGCAATTTTTAAATTAATTGCATAAAATAATAAAAAAGGCTCATAATTTAATTGCCAGGTAATTAAAAGCGTCCGTAACAGAGGGGACAAAAAAATCCCACATTTTTGACATGCACTGTTATTTCCGCCATATTCTATGATTTGGAACATCCTAAACATTATTTGTAATTTTTCTTTAATTATCACATTTCAAGGTAAAGTAAATTATTATAAGACTTTTTAAATTGCTTACACATTTTTATTAACTTCAAAAAATGCAATGTAACAGAGGGGACATTTTGCAAATTTGACAAATAGTTACAGGGAAATATCATGCCATTTAATTAAACATTGCACCTTAAAGTAGCATATTATTGCACATTTTTTTTTGTTTTCGCACATATTTAATACATTTTTTAGTATAAAATACCTGTGTGATTTCCCCTCTGTTACTCTTGGAATTCTACTACTGGTTTCAGTTGGCATGGAATTCAACTAGGGAGTGTTTTAAGCGTATAAAGAATGCTTTTGGACATTTATTGGAAGTTTAATCGCGAATTTTATTGTGCAATTTCAAGATAGTGACAACATAGTGACTAAGATGGCAATTTGTTTGGATGAAGAATACTGGTGAAATATGAGCTCTCCTTGCCAGATTTAATTGACAAACAGGTTATAGCCTATTTAATACCAATTAAGTTTCAATTATCTTTGCTGATTGATTAAAAAAAATATTGATTGCGGTGGTTTATTTCCTTAAGTAATTTCAATCTTCAGGTCAGATTGATGTGGCAAACTACTCATATAAACTGTTATAAAATTCATGTATGTTTTAGTTAGATTTACAGAAATCTGTCAATTGTATAAAATCATTTTATATTATTTAACTTCAGCTAGCTTTGGTTTTGTTGAAAATCATATTAATATTTTTGTCTGTACAGCGGGCATGTTTGATTGACAAATTAATTTTATTTTGTGAAATATTGTATACATGCATCCTAAATTAATGATTCCTGCTCTGGATTGTATTATAAAAGCAACTTTACTGATCCTTATGTGTATCATATCTTCCTGTAATTATAAATTTTACAATTACTAAAAACTATATAACTATATAACTAAAAACTATATAATTACAGTT